TACATCATACATTACCCATAATTCTTGTCTGTGTTAGCCACATGGCTTGGTAACTTTTATGAGTGAGGCAATCACATCTTACTTCCTCCATGTCTGGCTGATGATTGCAGACTGAGCCTTTCCTCTTCCGGGAATTCCCTTGTTCTTGTTTCCCTGTCTATACTTACTGCCTGGCTATTTGCCAATCAGCATTTTATTAAAGCAATACAAGTGACAAGTCTTTACAGGATACAAGACCATTTTCCAAAAGCAGATTCCCCTCTGTATTTTGTAAGCACAATTGGTTAATAAAAAAATCTGTGTGGGTCTATTGCATTGCAGAGTAGTGTAAGGTTCAATGCCAGGTGATGGTGGGATCACGCCTTTAATCCCTGCACTTGGAAGGCAGAGGCAGGCAGATCTCTGTGAGTCCAATACCAGCCTGGTCTACAAGAGCTAATTCCAGGACAGGCTCCAAAGTCACAGAGAGACCCTGTCTCAAAAAATGAAAATAAAATGAATAGTGTAAGGTTGGAATTCCAAGCAGAGAGAAGAGGAGAAAGTAGACAGAGTCAAAGAGAAGCCATGCAGCTGCTGCAGAAGACAGATGGCAGATGCAGGAAAGAATATTACCAAGAGGCTACAAACATGTGGTGATACACAGATTACTAGAAATTGCATAATTTAAGATAAAAGAGCTAGGCAATAAGAAGAATGAGCTATTAGAACAGGCAGTGTTGTTTTTAATAGATTTAGGGAGGTAAACAAGTAGTCATCGCCAACAAGCCACACAGAAAAGTCAAGTTACCAGCCTCCTAGGGAAGGCAGGTTTTCTATTTTAAGATCTCTTTTTCTATCTGTAGGAGGGAGAGGGAATCGAGAAAGTGTTTGGCCAGGATGGAAGGATTGTGCTATTAACTGATATCTTCTAACTGGTCTTAGAGATGTTGTACTTTCATTTGTTTCTGATTGAAACAGGCTTTCAAAAGAACATATTAAAATCACAGGAAAAGTTTAAACCTTAATCCTTTAAATTTCAGTTTATTTTTTTAAAATTAACTATTTTAAAACTGAATGGACTCAAACCAGTAACTTCACCAAAACTCTAAACATAAGGAATATTTTTGACAAACATTAATAAAAGGTTGAAAAGCCTGAAGGGCTTGAAAGGTGCTTTAATTTTAATTATCTACAAGAGAAACACATCTGAGATGATAGGACAATAATTCTCCTATGAGGCATGTGTGTGTGTGCCTCTGTATAAGTGCACAGGTGCACATTTAAACAACATTATGTATAGTTACTATCTATTGAAAGAGTATTAGTTTCCTGGGTTCCCCCAAAAAACACTCTGAATAATCTACTTGTTAAATCTAACATTTTATTAACAGAAAGCTAAAACTGTTTAACACAAATAATGGAGAAATTAAACAAAAGTGTTTTCAAATGCTGAAACAGAATATGTCTTATTGCACGCTAGCAAACAAGAATACAGTTTCAATTCAAAGTCAACTCTGAATTCCATTGGTCTACAGGAGGGACATAGAGTATATGAACAAGAGTTAATTTGAGCAGTTTGGGGAATGTACTGTTTTTAGAAACATAGGATTGAGTTCACAAACTAACACACTGTGGTGCTATTTGCTTGACATTGGTCATGGAGTTGTAAGGAATAACTGACTACATCCACAATTCAAGGGCACATATAAAGTAGATATATTGAAGGGGAGGCAGGGAAGATGACTTAGTTGTTAAGAGAATCTTCACAACCTTGGGGATCTAAGTTCAAATACACAGAACTCATAAGAAACAGGGCATGATGGTGTGTGTCTGTAACACCAGTGCTGTGGAGGTGGGAAGTGGAGACTGGAGGATCACCGAGGCTTGCTGGCCACCAGCTCTGCTCCAGGCTCAGTGAGATATCCTAGCTCAAGGAAATGGGACAGAGTGGTAGATAATAGACCTGACATTCTCTACGATCTTTGCCCTGTGGGGTGTGTACATTATCCCACATGAGTGTGCATACAGCCATACATCTCTGTGCACAAGTTTTGATTGTGATTTTTGTGGTTGTGAACGTAGAAGAGACTGCTCTGTTGAGTGAGTATGAAACCAATTTGACTGAAAAGACCACGATGAAGGGCACAACTGTTTTTCAGATGAAACTCTCCTCAGTGTAGACACTTCACACTCACTTCACACTCATTCTTAACACCTAAAATGAAAGCAAAATAGATGTGAAATTATTTTACAGAATTAATAAATGGATGAATTAGTGAGTAAATTGTGCAAAGGCTGTCAAGAGGTCAACAAATAAACACATTATGAAATAAGTGTATAGTATGAATTTTTGGTTCTGTTCCCATTTCCTCCACTTTGAGGTTGTAAATTTGTACAAACAGAAGCTTATCTCAGAGTAAAGTCTGGCTATTATACAATTCTAAGGGAAATGTTAGTAGATTATTAAAATGCCACAAGTATTAACTGCAGCATTCAGGAACACCAAGGAAGATGGCATCTGTGAAAATGTGGTAGTTTTTGAAAACCATGTAAAAGATTTTAATAAAATCTCATATACTATTCAACTGTGGATAATGTTACTATCATTACATTATTACAATTCTTATTACTTATTTTATATGCAAAATGTCATGTAATATCATAAAATCTAGTCAGTAAAAAGATTCCTTTCCTTCTTTTTTAATTATTATGGTTGTTTATTAACCCGGGGTGTCATACATGATTGAAACATATTTTTTTTACTAAGCTATACTGAAGGCCTTTCAGCATCCTTTCTCAGTTGTTATTTTTGTATGTTTTTTCCACTCATAACATTTCTAAACTCTTTTCAAGAGTGCATGTTGTAAGTTCATAGAAGGCATGGAACAAAATCTTTAATTAAATGGACATTTTTCCTGCCACCATCCAGTACCTGGATGGCCATTTAGAAAATTAGATCTAATGCCCACAACGTTCCATTATAGTTCAAAATGAAAGGATATCATTGATGGCACATGATATTAACCAAGAAAATAGAAAACAAGATATGTGAGGTCTCACACAGAATAATGATCAAATATTCATGTACTGGGCCACTCAAACAGTGACTGAATATATAAACACACAACTTAAACCTTTACTGAGTGACCTGTGCTCGGATGGGAGACTATGCTTGTTCTGTAGCTCTGTTTTCACTGCATTGTCTCTTGAACATGGGTTGCTCCTCTCTTGAAGGAGTGCATTGTATCAATTCAGTAGTAGATTGGGCTCTTTTCCTAAAACTGTGTTAGAGACTTTTACAGCAATCTTGTCACTGTTAATACAGTTGCAGTTTTGAATCTGAACAAAGCAACTTGGTCTAGAGAGTCCAGCAGCTGCAGCTATTCCAGTAGAGCCTCAAATGTTTTCTGTCCAGAGTGAAAGGCTCAGGGAAGCTCCTGGGCTGGCTTTATTGCCTCCCATGTATACAAGCTTTGTCACTTTTCCTAAAGGCGTTGAAGCTCTTGTACTAGCATTTGCTCCACACTGCCCCACCCTCAATGTGTTTTGCATTTCTCTTTGTCTTCTTCTGCCTTTTTGTTATGGGAAAGAGCCATCCCAGGAGGACCTCTTGTTTTCAGGTATGTTAATGTTTTAGTTCTAAAATTTTGTCACTTTCTTTGTTCATTATTGCTCCAATTTCCAGTTATAATTCATCTTTCACCTGCAATAACCTATAGTTTTTCCTACAATCTAAACATTTTTGTTAGTGTTATGTTGATACAGGAACTCACCAATTAGCTCAGTTTCCTTCAATACTGAGCCACGTATACCAGTGTGCACTGCTAGGCCAAGTTTACTAGAGTTTTGACACACGTTTTTCTGCTTTCTGATTTTGATACTTCCCTTTTCTGTTATTGCTTCCTTAACTATCCATTTGATCTTAAAGAATGTTATGACCCATTGCTCTATTCCCTTTCTTTCTTGGGCTGTATATTGTCCTTTATATGCCTTGATGTCTACAGTGACATTACAGGAGCAAATGTCTGTGCAAACTGGAGAGAAATAAATAAAGCCTAGTGCTCACACTGGTGAAGGAATCAGATGCATCAACAAAGGTAGGAGACATGGATAATAAAAAGGATCCTTGTTGTGCAAATGAATTCATGTAAATTTCTTGTCTGCTTTATAACAGAATAGGTATTACTCTATATTTATATACATGTTTGAATTAGATAGTCACTAGTCTTTAGAATATTTACATTACTGTTGTATTGATTAAAATGAAAGCAATTTTATACCATCTAACAACTATCATATTACTAATCATAAGTGAAATGCACAATAAATTTTATGAACATGATAAACCTGAATTATTTATGTCAGAAATGAGATGAATTATGATCTAAATAAATGCATACTTATGAACTAGCATATATTAGTATATGGATATGTATGCAAGCATATATGACTATATTAAAAGTAAAATTATTAATCTTCTCAGTCCCAGTATTTGAAGTATAACTAACTATATAAGATTATTAGGTAATTGTTTGCTTGTCGAAAGAACTTTGGAAAATATGTATAAGTACCTAAGTGGCTTCATTCTGTTGCATAGAAGTTAAGATATTTTGCTTTTTATGTGAGTTTGAATTTTATACTTTTTCTTGTCAGAAATTAAATGATTAAAGTTTAATATATGAATAGTCAAAACAATGAAAATAAGTTTATTTGATTTGATGACAGTACATAAGAATTCTGCTTTCTTCAGCATCAACTATGGAAGACTCCAATCCATTTTGTGTTATGTATGAAGCATCTGGATGAAGCTCAGATGAGTTTTCTTGCAAAGTGTAAGATTTTTGAGAAGAAAACTATAAACCATTTTATTAGTAAATTTTGATGTTTACTTGGCATTGTACATTCGAGTACATTTAATTTGTGTGTTATAAATTCTCAAGATTCAGCTAAACATACATCAAAAGACTATATTCAGAAATATTTAGCGCTATCGTTGAATTCTGAACATCATCTTGGAAACAATGAATGGTGTCCTTTATTACATATTATTAACTACTTTAAGTTTGGAGTTTCTAATGGGAAATTTAGGCAATGCATTCACAGTTTTGGTGAACATTATGAACTGGTTAAAGTGGAGAAAGATATCTTTCATAGACCAGATCTTGACTGCTCTGGCAATTTCCAGAATTGCTTTGCTCTTTTTACTAACTGCAGGTATATTTGTATCTGAACAATACCCAGACATAGTAATATCTAGAAGAATTATCAGACAAATTTGTATTTTCTGGACAGTAACCAATCATTTCAGTATCTGGCTTGCTACATGTCTCAGCATCTTCTATTTTCTCAAGATAGCTAGTTTTTCAAACTCTATTTTTCTTCATCTAAAGTGGAGAGTAAAAAAAATAGTTTCAGGGACACTGTTGGCATCTCTGCTCCTCTTGTTTTTAAACATTTTAGTTGCAAACACACATGTTGATCTCTGGATTGACAGAACTGAAGCCAATGTATTCTTCAGAGTTATATCAAGTAATTATTCTCAAGTTCCAAGGCTCATTTTACTCACCAACACTGTGTTCACACTCATCCCCTTCACCGTGACCCTAGCTGTGTTTCTCTTACTCATCTTCTCCCTGTGGAGACATCTGAAAAACATGCAGCACAACGCCAAGGGCTCCAGAGATGTCAGCACCGCAGCTCACATAAAGGCTCTGCAAATGGTGGTAATCTTCCTGTTACTGTACAGTATTTATTTTCTGTCATTTCTTTTGGAGTTTTGTAGTATTAAGTATGAGCTGAAAAATTCACTTTCTCTGCTTTTCTGTGTTACTGAAGTTGCTTTCCCTTCCTGCCACTCCTGTGTCTTGATTCTAGAAAACACTAAACTTAGACAGGCATTTATTTCTATGGTGTGGTGGCTGAGGTGCAGGCTTAGTGATGTGGAACCCTCATTTTCCTAAAATGTAGATCATCTTTTGTATTTTAGAAGTATATTAGTTCTTAATAAATTACTTTAGTATAAATTTCAACCTTCTGTATTTCACTTGTAGTATTTTGAATTGTGTAGATTAGTTATTACACTAAATATTACAGCCGTAGCAGAAAACATGGAAATACTTATGATACTCTAAATGAAAAACATGAATATGAACTAAATAAATATATGAACATATAATATTAGCAAAACATATTTTTCTATATAGAATTAATCACTTTGACAGTTTTAAATGACTTTTGTTAACATGTAAAATACATGTGTGTGTGTGTATTTATGTGGCCTGTGTTCAGTGTTTCTAAATCTGTAATAAAGATTTTGTGAATCTTTAGAAGGAAACCCTAGGTATGTTTTATCAACATTTTTCTCTTTGAATATTGTTTATCTATTTGTTTGCTCACTGAAAAATGTTGAATATATTTTCTGTATGTCTTTCAGATCCTATTTGATGGGGGCACATATGTTATAAAATGTGTACATGTGTAACAAGAGGAGGATGTTATAGTACTTATGTATAGCTCATTGACATTTGAAAATTTCAGACTACTTTTTGAATATTGTTGAATAAATTCATTTTTTGGAATGGAGGTTAAAGGACTGAATTGGAAAACATAAAAATTGTACAGTCTATTGTTGTTTGTTATTCTTTTCCTTAGAAAACAATAAGAAAAGAATTCAGTGCTAAGAGAAATGCTTTGTAAAATATCTGCAGTTGAATGAATTTTTAAATATGAAACTTATGATTGTGTAATACTAACAGTCTAAGATGAAACTCAGGAAAAGAAAACCAGATAAAAGTCAAAGTATAAATTTCTTGGTGAAATTAAATAGATATAGTAAATATCAATGAGAGATAAAATATAAATTGCATTATAGTAACATATCAAACACAATACAATCCACAGGGCAAAAAAAATGGATGTACACAGCACAATTTTCATTAATAAACAAATCTCGGAGAAATTTCATGTTTTCAGTACGGAGATGGTAGCCTGTCCACTTTCCTTCTACTGTGCTGCCATGGCACTGGAAACCACAGAACACGGCACTCAGCAGGCTCTTTCAGCACCACTGCAAATAACTTAGAGAGAACACGTCTAGCAAGATTCCTGTCTGTTAGGAGCTTTAACTTCATCAGCACACTAGATTTACTGCCATATCTAGACAGTGGAATTCTAGCTCAGTGATCATGGCTATGCTTCCTTTAATAGTGTCTTGTTATCAGCCTTGGATTGATGTGTGTGTGTGTCTGTCTGTCTATGTGTGCTTCTTAGTTGAATACAATGATGCTATAAGACATTAATTACCAGCAGATAATTGTTGATAAGAGGAATTTTCCAAAGGAGATTCTATAGACAATAAGGCACCTTAGAAAGAAAAGAACTCTATTACATGAATGCAATTTATCTGCTGAAACACAATCCTGATGCTGAAGGACCATTCACGATGTCACCTGAGGACTGAAGCTCACTGATCCTTGCATTCACCTTTGTTTTTTTTTTTTAAATACTTTGTAACTTTAAAACTTTTAATCCTTTGCTGAATAACGTTCATACTTCATGAACTCAAATTTCAAAGGGCTAGACAAAGGAAAATGCTTTCAAAAAGTGAAAAAGAATATGCCTTCATTTGCATTCTAGTAAATCAGAATTCTGCTTTGCCTTCAGGACCAGAGGTTGAAGTCTGGAACTGGTGGTGAGGACATACAGTGCATGATTCATGTTGCTAGGGATAGTAGTTTTTATTTACATGAATCTAGCATTGAACTAAGGGTTTGTCTTAGTTAATGTTGTATTCCTCCTTAACAATATCCACAGAATGTAAAAGCCAGTAGAAAGTCAGTTAGACTGAAAGGTTTGTTTGTGTTTGTGTGTGTGTGTGTGTGTGTGTGTGTGTGTGTGTAAAAATCATGAAAAAAGGTCATGAATTTGAAAGAAGCATCATTTTTGTTGTACAAACATGTATTCATATATATATTTGAACCACTTAAATATAAGAATTGGCATCTCTATTTTTACCAGTCATTAAACTTGTAAAGATTTTAAAATGATCAATGAATAACAAGTGGGATGTGTATGTGTATTTACTCACGTGAGGCACTTAAAAAGGAAAACTGTAATTGTGTCAGTATATGAATGACCTTTATTCTCTAAAAATGTCATGCAATAAATTATAAAATATAGACTCGGACATAAGATATACTTAACCCATATTTCAAACATAAGATTAATTAGAAAATATAAGAAGACATTCTGAGCCAGTGTGTAAGCATTTTTGCCTTTTGAAATATTTCACACACACAGACACACAGATGCATATAGATACCCACACATGCACTACAATTGAAAAATAAAAATGCTTTCAGTTTATTCCAAGTTGCCTATGCATATTATTAAAATGATGAATCAAGAATTCTTGAAACACGTTTATCACTGGGAAATTTTTATTAAGTTCTTATGTATATATTATAATATATTTTAGTTTTTAGGTTCATAAATGTCAAATGCACCTATGATAGTGTCTTTCTCAAATATCACAGCAGGAATTTGGTTGTATATTTTACTTCATGTAAGTATGCACATGAATTTTCTGTGGTGACAAAAATTCAAATTAGCATTAAAGCATGAAAATTTAGACTAATGTAGAAGTGACTAACATTTAATTAACACAAATGTTGTACATTTCTCATATTGGTATATAATTTATGCAAAACATACTCAAACTTACTCAAATAAGTGAATTATTTAAAACAATCCAGGCCAAAGAAGGGAAGCTTAGATAACTTAGCATGCTTATTTTCACACAAAAATCCCTTCAGACTGTTGTGTTAATGTTTGGCATGCATTTTACCTTCAATAAAGCTTTTTAAACTTATAAATTAAAATTTGAACATATTTCTGTATATTTTCTAGAGATAATTTTATGAGAAATAGATGATTTCAAATGTAAATGGAGAAATAGGCATCCACTAAAGGAAGTTGTTATGTTATTAATTTTTGGTAATTTGTCCACTCACAATGGTGGAATGCTGTCTCTCAAATATAGAAACCAACTTTCCTTGAAGTTAATTAGAACAATAATTTCTATGGAGGAAGGCCCTTCCTTAAATTTATGTGAAGTATCTAGGAGAAGAAGCTATTCACAGCCACACTTGAAATCTGATCGAAAAACATAGAAAAGAATTGGAAGTCTTTGTGCTGAATTTAAGTTTGTCCTTTCTTTCTGTGATACTTGATATGTATTTAGTTTGTACAGAAAGCTCAGATATGACATTTGTTTGATACATCAGTATCTGTCTTGTTATATGGGAGGTTCTTCTGTCTATGTATTGCTTTTATTGGTTAATGAATAAGGAACTGCTTTGAGATTATGGCAAAGGCAGACCAGAACTAGGCAGGGAAAGTTAGTCTGTATGCTGGGAGAAAGAGGGCAGATTCAGAGAGAAGCCATGAAGCCGCTGCCAGAGTCAGACACGCTGAAACTTTGTCAGTAAGCCACTGCCATGTGGTGATACACAGATTAATAAATATGGGTTAAATTAATATGTAAGAGTTAGACAATAAGAAGCTAGAGCTAATGGGTCAAGCAGTGATTTAATTAATACAATTTCTGTTTGATTATTTCGGGTCTAAGCTAGCCAATTGGCCAGAAACCAACAAGCAGCTTCCCACTATATTTGGCGCACCAACATGGTAGACTAAATCCATGTAAATTCTTAAAAAGCTTAAAAAAAACACAGACAAACAAAGTTTAGCCTAATCTATTCTTTTCTTTTCTTTTCTTTTGGTAGTGTACCACAGCTCTCTTAAAGGAGGTTTTCCTGATTTATTGGTAGCAGAAAAAAAGCCATGCCTTTTTAATAAAGGCAGCTTCCTGGGCCATGCTGCCAGTACAAACTCCAGCTATGGAGCATTTGAGTGGCATTTTTGGGCCTGGGTGTTTGTGTACCCACTTGGAGTTGGGAGGAAAGTAGTTGAGACCAATTCAGTGCCCCCCCACCTGGGAAGGCAGTGGGATCAGGACTGCTAGGCATGTACAAGCAGGAGAGCATGATAGATTCCTGCCACCACACACAGAGATATTTCCAGGCCACACAATGTTCTGCAGGGCATATTTAGCTATTACTAAGATAAAAAGGCTTTATGTGATGTGCACTCATTCTCAGACCTAAAGTGATGAGCACAGTTCCTACCTGGTGACCCCAGTGCTGGCAATAATGGTACCTCCACCATTTTAAAACTGGAGAGAGGTGGAGCCAGCATCCAGAACAGCTGCAATCAAACTGCTTGCCATTATAAACGTTCTTCAAGACAGTAAAGAATTACAGATAATGCAATAAGAACAGATTAAGATATAAAAAGAACTCTAAATGGGTAACAGTGTTGTATAAATATACATAGGCTTGGGAAAGAGACTAAAAAGAGTATGGAGAGTTAAAAAAAGAAGTTAATTGTTCACAAAAACAAAGTATTTAAAGTGACAGAGTACAGAAAGTCATAGATTAAAAGGAGTAAAGAAAAATAAGCCATGTAAAGATGGACAATACACAGAGAGTCTGAATTATGCATATCATTGTGTCTTCTTTAAATTTTGACTGTGAAGGAGCTAAGCACAGAGAGACATTTCATTGTATGGACTGCTAAGTTAAACCAACATAAAGGTGTCTTGATTATAAAATTTGAGTCTAAGGATATGTTGCTTTGAAAAAGAGGTTCTTCTTTTGTTTCCACAGAGGATGAGAGCCTATGAATTGTTTCTAGAACAATATGGGTTGATGGAACAAGACCCACAAAAGGTTGTTGTGAGCACCCTCCAAAAGGAAAAGCAGTTTGCAGAAAACTACGTCCTTATTCCCAAATATTGTTTATAACTATTTGTTTACATTTAAAGGCAGATATAGAGTTTGCATTAGTATGGATTTTTGTTTATTGATACAAATTTAAGGTCAATCTTGTTATGTGCATA